ACGGGAGAAAGTGGGTCACGAAAGGAACGTTAAGTCGTTTGCACACGTGATTACTCTTCAACTTTTCCCAACGACTCCTACTTAAATGCGGCGGTTACTGTCAGAAAATGGCGCCGAATAGTTCATTAACAATAACATCTGAAGACAGTTAAGTTAGTCAGCAAGTCAAGAGGAAGTAATGACGACATAGCCCCGTCAGCAGGAGGAAAATGTTCCCACTTCAGTGAGGACTGGCGAGCAGGGGATGGGGGGTGCCTCTCTGCCTGAAAGTGCCCAAGCTGTTCCATTACCTCTGATGTTTCTGCCTGGTTGCCGGGCCGGCGCTATGAACCCAAGCGTATACAGAGCACTTATAGTTTAAAACATATTTAGAATGGACCCACACATTCTGGAAAATATGACTAATTTGTTTTTAAATTGAGAAAGGAATAAAGAGATATCATGATCACAGCATTCAGAACATTGAGAGTTATCGACAAGATGAAGGGCTGATCGCGGACGAGCTGCTACACGTCGAACTGGACACCCGAGTGACATAGGTATACCCGAGTGACACAGGTATACCCGAGTGACACAGGTATACCCGAGTGACATGTATACCCAAGTGACACAGGTATACCCGAGTGACACATGTACACCCAAGTGACACAGGTATACCCAAGTGACACAGGTATACCCAAGTGACACAGGTACACCCGAGTGACACAGGTATACCCGAGTGACACAGGTATACCCGAGTGACACAGGTATACCCAACTGACACAGGTACACCCAAGTGACACAGGTATACCCAAGTGACACAGGTATACCCGAGTGACACAGGTATACCCGAGTGACACAGGTATACCCAAGTGACACAGGTATACCCAAGTAACACAGATATACCCAAGTGACACAGGTATACCCGAGTGACACAGGTATACCCAAGTAACACAGGTATACCCAAGTAACACAGGTATACCCAAGTGACACAGGTATACCCGAGTAACACAGGTATTCCCGAGGGACACAGGTATACCCAAGACTCGCCTCATAACTAAAGGTTAACATTTTTCCCACCCGTGTAGTTTCATTTTTAATTAGAAATCATAATTATAGTTTTAAGAGCTGTCTCTTTTTTTCCAATATGCAGGAAATAATTATAAAACTAAGCACTAGACCAGTGGTGCTCTGCCGCCCGCGACACGTGTGGGGTCAAAAGGTCACTTTTAAAGCAGATACGGAAATAAACTTGTTGCCTGGAGTTTAAAGGTGAAGAAATATGTTCCTTGGCAGGAGGTGAAAAAGAAGACCAACTAAGAAAGAGAAGGCATACGACACACTACAGAAGAAGGGGGAAATGGTAGAGGAGACACGACTACTCCAACAATGACAAAATAATTGTAAACAGGGCGACTGTAGAAATAGAGCGCAAGCTGAAGCAATCATAGCAATGGAGTAGGCTGCGATGCATACGTCAGGCTGCAAGCAGCAGCTTCTAAACAGCCTGGTCGACCAACAACCATCCAGGAAGCCTTTTCAACCAGACCCCTCCCCCCTCCGAAGCCTGGTCACAGACCGGGCCGCGGGGACGTTGATCCCCGGATGCACCAACAGGTAGACAACAGACACATGATCTGTTTACATTTAACTCGGGATTTACTGCATCCCAAAGGCAATTATCAGGATAAAGCGCCAAGCCATTCCGACTATATAGCACTTGGAAAGGATCAGGATAAGGATTTGGGATGGGACGGGGAAGAGGATTGATGCCCAACCACTTGAACGGTCGGGGATTGAACGCCGACCTGCATGAAGCCAGACCTTCGCTCTACCGTCCAGCTTAGGTGGTTGACCGACCGAGTGGACCCAACTCGCGTTCCAGTATCATCAACGTTGGATACAATACATATCTTTATACATATAAATACATATGCGAACAAGCCTGAATGGTCCCCAGGCATATATGAAACTGAAAACTCACACCCCAGAAGTGACTCGAACCCATACTGCCAGGAGCACTCTGCGACTGGTGTACAGGACACCTTAACCACTCGACCATCATTTAGTTATATAAATTACATATATATATATATATATATATATATATATATATATATATATATATATATATATATATATATATATATGTCGTACCTAGTAGCCAGAACACACTTCTCAGACTACTATGCAAGGCCCGATTTGCCTAATAGGCCAAGTTTTCATGAATTAATGTTTTTTCGACGACCTAACCTACCTAACCTAACTTTTTCGGCTACCTAACCTAACCTAACCTGTAAAGATAGGTTAGGTTAGGTAGGGTTGGTTAGGTTCGGTCATATATCTACGTTAATTTTAACTCCAATAAAAAAAATTGACCTCATACATAATGAAATGGGTAGCTTTATCATTTCATAAGAAACAAATTAGAGAAAATATATTACTTCAGGAAAACTTGGCTTATTAGGCAAATCGGGCCTTGCATAGTAGGCTGAAAAGTGCGTTCTGGCTACTAGGTACGACATATATATATATATATATATATATATATATATATATATATATATATATATAACTGAAAACTCACACCCCAGAAGTGACTCGAACCCATACTCCCACAACTGGTATGTACAGGGACGCCTTAATCCGCTTGACCATCACGACCGGACAAAAGGAAGTGATAGCCGAGGCTATATGAACCACTTCCCCGCCGGCACTCGGATGGTAATCTTGGGCATAGCATTTTATCAAATCACCTCATTCTTTGGGGCACACGTGAGGAACACAAATTTGTGTTCCTCACGTGTGCCCCAAAGAATGAGGTGATTTGATAAAATGCTATGCCCAAGATTACCATCCGAGTGCCGGCGGGGAAGTGGTTCATATAGCCTTGGCTATCACTTCCTTTTGTCCGGTCGTGATGGTCAAGCGGATTAAGGCGTCCCTGTACATACCAGTTGTGGGAGTATGGGTTCGAGTCACTTCTGGGGTGTGAGTTTTCAGTTGTATATAGTCCTGGGGACCATTCAGGCTTGTTTGCATATATATATATATATATATATATATATATATATATATATATATATATATATATATATATATGACCGAAAAAGTAAGATTAATAATTTTAACACGAATTTTCTCGATCTTTCTTACGTTTCTTTTCACTGTTGATGGTAATTCAAAGATCAATTCTCCAAAATTCATTTTTATTTCTAGTCTGACGCGACACTTGAGCGCGTTTCGTAAAACTTATTACATTTTCAAAGACTTTAGTTTACAAACACACAACTGAAACTGAATAGAGCTTACACATCTTCGATTTTATATCTACATTTGAGTGAGGTGGATGAGGTGAAACACTTTCAACAATGGGTATTGAATGGCTATTAAATTCAAACACAAGACAGAACACGAAACAATGGGTATTGAATGGAAGTAATTGTAGAAAGCCTATTGGTCCATATTTCTTGATGCTTCTATATTGGAGCGGAGTCTTGAAGTGGGTAGAATATAGTTGTGCATTAATTGGCTGTTGATTGCTGGTGTTGACTTCTTGATGTGTAGTGCCTCGCAGACGTCAAGCCGCCTGCTATCGCTGTGTCTATCGATGATTTCTGTGTTGTTTGCTAAGATTTCTCTGGTGATGGTTTGGTTGTGGGAAGAGATTATATGTTTCTTAATGGAGCCCTGTTGCTTATGCATCGTTAAACGCCTGGAAAGAGATGTGGGACTGTAAGCCTCAAAAAACCCAGTATATAGGCAAGACAACATCTCTTTCCTGGCGTTTAACGATGCATAAGCAACAGGGCTACCTTAAGGAACATATAATCTCTTCCCACAACCAAACCATCACCAGAGAAATCTTAGCAAACAACACAGAAATCATCGATAGATACAGCGATAACAGGCGGCTTGATGTCTGCGAGGCACTACACATCAAGAAGTCAACACCAGCAATCAACAGCCAATTAATGCACAACTATATTCTACCCACTTCAAGACTCCGCTCCAATATAGAAGCATCAAGCAATATGGACCAATAGGCTTTCTACAATTACTTCCATTCAATACCCATTGTTTCGTGTTCTGTCTTGTGTTGATGAAATTAATACCCTATTAATGCCACCTCTTGTTCTGTCTTGTGTTGATGAAATTAATACCCTATTAATGCCACCTCACCCCATCCACCTCTCTCAAATGCAGATATAAACAAAGTCGGAGATGCGTAAGTTCTATTCAGTTGTGTATTTGTAAACTAAAGTCTTTGAAAATGTAATAAGTTTTACGAAACGCGCTCGTGTCGCGTCAGACTAGAAATAAAAATGAATTTTGGAGAATTGATTTTTGATTTACCTCCAACAGTGAAAAGAAATGTACGAAAGATTGAGAAAATTCGTGTTAGAATTATTAATCTTACTTTTTCGGTCATATTTAATAATATATGTCTACAGGAAAGACTGCTACCAAAATATACTAATATATATATATATATATATATATATATATATATATATATATATATATATATATATATATATATATATATATATATATCTTTCCCTATGACGACGAGAAAACGCATTCGGGCCATTACTCTTACTGATCAGGTCTGGTGTGCAAAACAAGATGAAACAAATAAAAATATTTACTATTTATCCTTTTGAAGTTGATGGGCCAAACGACTTGTTGATACAACTATAATACCACCACTACCATACCACCACTGCTGCTGCTGCGGCTGCGGCTGCGGCTGCTGCGGCTGCTGCTGCTGCGGCTGTGGCTGTGGCTGCGGCTGTGGCTGCGGCTGCTGCTGCGGCTGCTGCGGCTGCTGCAGCGGCTTCGGCTGCTGCGGCTGTGGCTGTGGCTGCGGCTGCGGCTGCTGCTGCGGCTGCTGCTGCTGCTGCTGCTGCTGCTGCTGCGGCTGCTGCTGCTGCGGCTGCTGCTGCTGCGGCTGCTGCGGCTGCGGCTGCGGCTGCTGCGGCTGTGGCTGTGGCTGCGGCTGCTGCTGCGGCTGCTGCTGCGGCTGCTGCGGCTGCTGCAGCGGCTTCGGCTGCTGCGGCTGCTGCAGCGGCTTCGGCTGCTGCGGCTGCGGCTGCTGCGGCTGCGGCTGCTGCAGCGGCTTCGGCTGCTGCGGCTGCTGCAGCGGCTTCGGCTGCTGCAGCGGCTTCGGCTGCTGCGGCTGCTGCGGCTGCTGCAGCGGCTTCGGCTGCTGCGGCTGCGGCTGCTGCGGCTGCGGCTTCGGCTGCAGCGGCTTCGGCTGCTGCGGCTGCGGCTTCGGCTGCTGCGCCTGCAGCTTCGGCTGCTGCGCCTGCAGCTTCGGCTGCTGCGGCTGCGGCTTCGGCTGCTGCGGCTGCGGCTTCGGCTGCTGCGGCTGCGGCTGCGGCTTCGGCTGCTTCGGCTGCTGCGGCTGCGGCTTCGGCTGCTGCGGCTGCGGCTGCGGCTGCTGCGGCTGCGGCTGCTGCGGCTGCTGCAGCGGCTTCGGCTGCTGCGGCTGCTTCGGCTGCTGCAGTGGCTTCGGCTGCTGCGGCTGCGGCTTCGGCTGCTGCGGCTGCGGCTTCGGCTGCTGCGGCTGCTGCTCATACTGCCCTGGATTCCGGTTTACCTAGTGCTTTATCCCGAGCCAATCATGCCCTATCAGAATTCAATTAAGCTGACAACCAACCCGGTAAATTGGCGGAGCGGTTGACCGAAAGCAGCAACAGTGGGAAGGGGGGGGGGCCTTCAACAGGACAGACGGAGCGTGCACCAGCCTCCACCCCCCCCCTCACAATCTCTTCCACCGGTCAACTCCTTATTGTTCCAGTAATTGATTTAGAGAGATGTTTTTCCCCTGAGGCGGCTTCCGGGGCTACGCTGAATTTGAGGGACGCTGCTGATTCTGTCCCAGACGGACCTGTAGGTCACACACACACACACACACACACACAGCAGTTTTATAGAGGGTATAGAATCGTTTCTCTCAATGTTTGCCGATGATGCAAAAATTATGAGGAGGATTGAAACTGAAGACGATAGTAGGAGGCTACAAGATGACCTAGACAGACTGAGTGAATGGTCCAACAAATGGCTGTTGAAGTTCAACCCGAGTAAATGCAAAGTAATGAAACTAGGCAGTGGAAACAGGAGGCCAGACACAGGATACAGAATAGGAGATGAAGTACTTAATGAAACGGACAGAGAGAAAGATCTAGGAGTTGATATCACACCAAACCTGTCTCCTGAAGCCCACATAAAAAGAATTACGTCTGCGGCATATGCGAGGCTGGCTAACATCAGAACAGTATTCAGGAACCTGTGTAAGGAATCATTCAGAATCTTGTACACCACATATGTAAGACCAATCCTGGAGTATGCGGCCCCAGCATGGAGCCCGTACCTTGTCAAGCACAAGACGAAGCTGGAAAAAGTTCAAAGATATGCCACTAGACTAGTCCCAGAACTAAGAGGCATGAGTTACGAGGAAAGGCTGCGGGAAATGCACCTTACGACACTGGAAGACAGAAGAGTAAGGAGAGACATGATCACAACCTACAAAATCCTCAGAGGAATCGACCGGGTAAACAAGGATAAACTATTCAACAATGGTGGGACGCGAACAAGGGGACACAGGTTGAAACTGAGTACCCACATGAGCCACAGAGACGTTAGAAGGAACTTTTTCAGTGTCAGAGTAGTTAACGGATGGAATGCATTAGGCAGTGATGTGGTGGAGACTGACTCCATACACAGTTTCAAATGAGGATATGATAGAGCCCAGTAGGCTCAGGATTCTGTACACCAGTTGATTGACAGTTGAGAGGCGGGACCAAAGAGCCAAAGCTCAACCCCCGCAAGCACAAATAGGTGAGTGCAAATAGGTGAGTACACACACCACACACAAGGTGATGGAGAAGATCGTGAGAAAAAACCTGGTAACACATCTGGAGAGAAGGGACTTCGTGACAAATCGCCAACATGGGTTCAGGGAGGGCAAATCTTACCTGATGGGCTTAATAGAATTCAACGACCAGGTGACAAAGATTAAGCAAGAAAGAGAGGGCTGGGCGGACTGCATTTTCTTGGATTGTCGGAAAGCCTTTGACACAGTACCGCATAAGAAGCTGGTACATAAGCTGGAGAGACAGGCAGGTGTAGCTGGTAAGGTGCTCCAGTGGATAAGGGAGTACCTAGGCAATAGGAAGCAGAGAGTTACGGTGAGGGGTGAGACCTCCGATTGGCGTGAAGTCACCAGTGGAGTCCCACAGGACTCTGTACTCGGTCCTATCTTGTTTCTGATATATGTAAATGATCTCCCAGAGGGTATAGATTCGTTTCTCTCAATGTTTGCGGACGATGCAAAAATTATGACAAGGATTAAGACAGAAGAGGACTGTTTGAGAATTCAAGAAAACATAGACAAGCTGAAGGAATGGTCGAACAAATGGTTGTTAGAGTTTAACCCAACCAAATGTAATGTAATGAAGATAGGTGTAGGGAGCAGGAGGCCAGATACAAGGTATCATCTGGGAGAGGAAATTCTTCAGGAGTCAGAGAAAGAAAAAGACTTGGGGGTTGATATCACGCCAGACCTGTCTCCTGCAGCCCATATCAAGAGGATAACATCAGCGGCATACGCCAGGCTGGCCAATATACGAACGGCATTCAGAAACTTGTGTAAAGAATTATTCAGAACTTTGTATACCACATATGTCAGGCCAATCCTGGAGTATGCAGCCCCAGCATGGAGTCCATATCTAGTCAAGGATAAGACTAAACTGGAAAAGGTTCCAAGGTTTGCCACCAGACTAGTACCCGAGCTGAGAGGTATGAGCTACGAGGAGAGACTACGGGGAATTAAACCTCACTTCGCTGGAAGACAGAAGAGTTAGAGGGGACATGATCACCACATTCAAGATTCTGAAGGGAATTGATAGGGTAAAGACAGGCTATTTAACACAAGGGGCACACGCACAAGGGGACACAGGTGGAAACTGAGTGCCCAAATGAGCCACATGGATGTTAGAAAGAACTTTTTTAGTGTCAGAGTGGTTGACAAATGGAATGCATTAGGAAGTGATGTGGTGGAGGCTGACTCCATACACAGTTTCATGTGTAGATATGATAGAGCCCAGTAGGCTCAGGAATCTGTACACCTGTTGATTGACGGTTGAGAGGCGGGACCAAAGAGCCAGAGCTCAACCCCCGCAAACACAACTAGGCGAGTACACACACAGACATTAATATAGCTGTTTCTCTTACCCTTTATATATTTCTGAAGATGTTTCTTCAATTTTTAGCTGGTAGAAGGCATTACTCTGAATGGAAAAATACTCATAAGAAAATTAACAATGGTAATACAACTGTCTTCAATTATATGTGCAACTCAAAAATGACTAATACAAACAAACCAATGCGTGTCTCAAAATAAGAACTTCCCATCACCCACCGCAGCTGCACCTCATGGCCCTTTAAAAGGCAGGAACGTGGTCAGATGCGGGCAGACTAACTCTACCCGCCCCATCACTCTCACCCACACTCCTCCACTAAGCTGACCCAATTTCTAAATCTGTGCATTTGGCGCCATCAGGTCGGTAACGTTGTCGGACTAAAGCTGCATTGGTCTCGCCAGCGTCACCTGTCACCCAGCTCACGCAGCTGCTCCTTCCTGTTCCTCAACAGTCGTAAACAGACCTGTCTATCCGTCTCTAATGTTGCGTTCTGATTGACGGTCTGGTCAAGTACGTTATTAGACGTCGCTCGACGCAGTGTGACGTTAGTGGCAGCGAGCAGACCGCCTGGACTTCTAAGACGAGCCATCCTGGGAGCCGACATAACCCCAGCAAGCCATCGTGCAGGTTACGGTAGCCGGGAAAAAATGCAGACGTCTTGATGTATGTTAACATCATGGAAAATTTTAATGGAATTGCCCTATGTTATACTGCTGGCTTACAGCATCCACGAGGGACACCACACGTGGTGTCCCTCGTGTGGTGTCCCTGGTATGGGGTCCCTGGTATGGGGTCCCTGGTATGGGGTCCCTGGTATGGGGTCCCTGGTATGGGTTCCCTGGTATGGGTTCCCTGGTATGGTGTCCCTGGTATGGGGTCCCTCGTATGGAGTCCCTCGTATGGGGTCCCTGGTATGGGGTCCCTGGTATGGGGTCCCTGGTATGGGGTCCCTGGTATGGGGTCCCTCGTATGGAGTCCCTCGTATGGGGTCCCTCGTATGGGGTCCCTCGTATGGGGTCCCTCGTATGGGGTCCCTCGTATGGGGTCCCTCGTATGGGATCCCTCGTATGGAGTCCTTTGTATTTTCCAACAGATCTACAGTTTCCTTATTCCTCTGGTCTTATACCGTCCTTAGTGCGGGGATGAAGAGCACCTCCCCAAGTCACCTTCGCCACCAATCATTGCCCTAGGCAGCAGTAGCGAGGGTCTAGCAATTAGTGCACGACGGAACAGTCATCAGCATCTTACAACTATATAATAACTAGTTTGGCAGCGACATGAGGAGCGCTGAGTGGTGATGTGTCGGCCACACACCACCTTGACACGGAAGGTGGTGGGCAGTTAACACCCGAGTGTATACCTGGAGAGGGTTCTGGGAGGTCTTCTACTCCCCGAGCCCGGCCTGAGACCGGGCTCGACTTGTGATAACTTGGTTCAACAGGCTGTAGTTTGGAGCGGCCTAGATTGCATCAGCTATAAACCACCACCAATGTGATCCACACATTCCCTCCCTCCTGCTGTGTACCATTGGGGGTGGGGGAGATATCGCATGTTGGTCTAGACCTTTTACTCTGGAAAGTCGAACAACTGGTCAATAACACGGATTTCCTTGACACGTCCCACACGGCGGAACACAGCGCAAGAATTCTTAAATATTATATTGACAGGAACTCTAAACTTCCCACATTATACTCACAAGAGGAATTTGATGGATATAAGAAAGGTGATATGCGCTAAAGCTTATGCTGTAAACACGATCTGGGAACAAAGAGAGAACAAATTCTACTATGGGGGAAGTATTGCCTTGGGCCTGGTCTTGGAGCTCGGGGGATCATTTCTCATTACCACACTGAATAATCCATCGCTCTATAGCATCCTTTTATGGTCCAGGGTAAATACATCCCTCATTTTATGGGACGAAGGATCTTTGTCAGGCGCCATTATAGGGGAGATCTGCCACACGCCATTACCAAGATAATTTCAGTAAATCATAATAGAGGCAGTAGATGGCTCCCCTGGAAACACAAACCGAAACTGTCTCTATTTTCCGCTTGTTACAACTTGTAATAAACGTGTTACATGTTGGCTTAACGTGTTTATGACGTATTAGAACGTTGTTACAACGTGCTATATTGGTTGTTATAACTGGTTAGGAGGTGTTAAAACTTGTCCGAACGTTGTACCAACGTTGTAGTTTCGGTGTGTGTTTGTCGGGTGTCGGGTGTGGTGTGTGATCACACACCACAGTACGGTGTGTGTGTGTACTCGCCTAGTTGTACTTGCGGGAGTTGACCTTCAGTTCTTTGGTCCTGCCTCTCAACTATCAATCTGCCATTCTTGGATGTACTAATAACAAAAACAGGAGCATCTCTAAGCACC